AGGCCCTTGCCCGGGACTCGTAGGGGAATCAGGGTTTTTGAGGCTTTGCCTTCGGAAAAGCTGCCCTGGGCGTAAGGCAGGGCTGAAGGATGCCCGGGACTCGGAGGGGAATCGGGGTTTTTGAGGCTTTGCCTGCGGAAAAGCTGCCCTGGGCGTAAGGCAGGGCTGAAGGAGGCCCACTGCGTTTGGCTTGTGCGGAGACAGGCATGTCGGGCTGGTCTTCCCTAGAATTTCGTTAGACCTGCAGGTCTCACAGTGATCCCGGGAAATCATGCCCCAGCGGCTAATAGGGCCTGACCGTGTGGCTCAGTGGCTGCGCACCGACCTATGAACCAGGAGGGCCCGGCTCGATTCCCATTGTGGGGCGTGCAGGAGGCAGCCCATCAGTGATTCTCTCCCGTCATTGATGTTTCTCTCTCTCTCTCTCCCTTTCCCTTTCTCTCTAAAATAAAAAATACATATATTTTTCAAAACTAACAACAACACTGAAAAAACCACTAACGTGGCTGAAATGGGGACCCTTGGATAGTTCTAAATTAACTTTACTGTGCACATTAGAAAAAGCTGGCTATAATGTTAGGCAGAATGAATGGAAAATGAATTGGTCTCTCCAAGCTTCAAAAAGAAGATTTAGATAAATACCTCAACTAGGATGTCATTGAGGTGTCAAGCCAGTTCTTTGAGGAATTAAAAATGTCTGTCCCGCCCGGCCAGTGCTTGAGTCGATTCATGCACCAACTGCTCAGGGCACATGCCTGGGTTGGGGGCTCCAAAGCATGCAGGAGGCAGCTGATCGATGTTTCTCTCTCCTTTTCCCTTCCTCTCTCGAAAAATTAATAAAAACCTGTTTTAAAAAATTTCTGTCCTAATTTTATTTTATCTTTTTAAATTCTCACCAACTTCAATGTGACATAGAAACATCGATTGGTTGAAACATGTAATACTTTAAACCAGGGGTCCTCAAACATTTTAAACAGGGGGCCAGTTCACTGTCCCTCAGACCGTTTAAAAAAAAACTAGTCGGCTGCTAAGCAACAGGCAGCAGCGGCAAAAACAACCCGGGGGCTGGATAAATGTTTTCGGCGGGCAGCATGTGGCCCACGGGCCCTAGTTTGAGGACCCCTGCTTTAAACAATAAAAAAAAAAACCACAATAATTGGTTGCTTCCCACATACACCAAAACGCGGGCGGGGGAGAATCCACAACCCTCCGGTGCATAGGTCGATGCTCTAACCACTGAACCATGCTGGCCAGGGTTGTCCTAATTTTAAAAGGGGGCTGGTCATTTGGAACTTGACTTGTTATGGAATTTACAATGTAAATTGTAAATGCCTCCAGGGAAAATTTGGATTCAGTCGTCCTTTTATAAGCTAGTGAGTTTTTCTAATGGTCAAACGGTTTGTTTGTGTCTGTCCATGTTGTACATGTGAGATAATTTTCTACCTCTGGATGGTGTTGTTAAAAATTAATTCAAAGGTGAAGGCTTGTAAGATTTGGGTATTCTAAAAGTCTCAGAAATATAGAAGCTAACACAAATCCTTTTCAAGTTCATGTGACCTAAGATTAATCTTTAGTAAATAAAAGTTACCTTAAGTTTGTTGGTTTAAGTAAAACAGACATTTATTTTGTCCGGTTTTAAAAAAATAATTCCATGTTAGTAATGACTTTTAGGTCTAATATAACTGATGTTTCTAGAGGTTATAAAATGTCCAAGCCAAAGGATGCTAATTGCTTATTTAGGTTTCATTAGAAATTGAGTTTTTGTTGTTTTTTTGCTATAATTGCTTTTTTTAATCATTCAATTTCATGAACATCTAGCGGTTCTCAACCTATGGGTCGCGACCCCTTTGGGGGTCGAATGACCCTTTCACAGGGGTCGCCTAAGACCATCAGAAAACACATATATAATTACATATTGTTTTTGTGATTAATCACTATACTTTAATTATGTTCAATTTGTAACAATGAAAATACATCCTACATATCAGATATTTACATTATGATCCATAACAGTAGCAAAATTACAGTTATGAAGTAGCAACGAAAATAATTTTATGGTTGGGGGTCACCACAACATGAGGAACTGTATTAAAGGGTCGCGGCATTCGGAAGGTTGAGAACCACTGATCTAAGTGATAAACAGACCCCAAAATAAAGACCAGTTTGTAAAACTGGCCCATTTTAATGTTCTTTACGATAGAATAAATAATTCTCTTGATGACTGCAGACATGTAAGCTGTTTGCTAGCACTCAGGAACAGCACAGTAAAGGAGCTGATTGGTGCATGGTCTTCAACAATTACAAAGAGTTACTTGTATGAAACTGCTGTCAAACCAGGAAGACTGCATTTATGCCCCCATCATTTTCAGGACTGTTGGTAACCTGGGAATATTTTCCCCAAATAACCTTGCCTCCTTGTGTCACAAGGCCCAGCTCATTCACGTTCACCTCGATGACAGCACCTTTGGTTATAACACCCGAAGTTGTATAAAGTGGGGAGAAGGGATTCTTCTTTACACCAAGTATTGGCAGGCAAAAGGTAGCTTTCCGTTCAGGTTGTGTTACGTGGGCCTTCTTGAAACGTACGTCCATTGGCCTAATATTTAGGTGGTTTTCGAGTAAAGCCTCTCCAACAAAGCAGACTTTAGTAACCATCCTCTTCCATGCTTTTGTCTTTCTCTTTCCTGTTCGAATAACTTTTTTTTTTATATATTTTATTGATTTTTTACAGAGAGGAAGGGAGAGAGAGAGAGAGTTAGAAACATCGATGAGAGAGAAACATCGATCAGCTGCCTCCTGCACACCCCCTACTGGAGATGTGCCCGCAACCAAGGTACATGCCCTTGACTGGAATCGAACCTGGGACCTTTCAGTCCGCAGGCCGACGCTCTATCCACCGAGCCAAACCGGTTACGGCTCAAATAACTTTTAATACCTGTTTCTCCCTGGGCATGAACTTTGGGCAGAGGGACTTCCCATTTTCCCACTTTCTCTTTTCGTTTTTGTTTAATCATACTGGAAAGTACTTTGGCTCGCAACTATCCCTCTCTGTCCAGTAGGTATGCAGGTACTGCTCCTTGTGGAGTCTTTTCGTCATTCTTTTGTTTGGTGTTTCGTTTTTCATGCATCTTGGTAGTTTTTTTCATTTGTGTTTTCTCAGCATGGTGCTGTTTATGGTAGAGCTTAGCCTTCAGACCAATCATCTTTTTTTGCCTTCTTTGAATGTTCATGAACCTCTCGGCCTGCCTTCTTTCTCTTTTTCTCACGGTAATCCAAACGATATCCATAGAGCTTCCAGGGTAATTCGATATACTCATTTTGTGGCATGGTGATGGCCGCTGGGCCCCCCGGGTGCAGTCCCCCGAGAGAAGAAGCTCTCAATTCTCAGGTCTCAGAGACGTGCTAGAAATTGAGTTTAAGGGTTTAAAATCTCAATATATGTAGGAATAACTTGGTAGTATTTCAGAAGGACCCCTGGAATACCTCAAAATATTTGAAATTGCATGGGAAGCATCATAAAATTAGTGATGAAAACTTCTAGGGTATATTGTATGGATAAACAATGGTTGTAAATTAAACAAATAGTAGGGGCTATGGGAAACCCAAGATGGCTGTTTGGTTCTTTCCTGCTCTCTGGCTAATCAATATAACAGATTGAGATTCAGAATCTATCGTAGAAAATGAATGCTGTAGGCTTACGTATTTGACACTGCATTCCTTCCCAGGTGGCAGGACAATGGCATATACTGGGAGCAATACATTCACCACCATTTTTACATTTCTGAACGCAGATAGCTGCAAATAGAAACATACACAAGTCAAAAATATGATTTACTAAACAAATCCTATCATAAAACACAAAAATGTTCATTAGAGAAATAAAATGACAGTTAAAAGTCAGTGATGAAAGGATCTTGTCCCTTAACATTTTATCCAGAATATTTCCAATGTCACTACTTATTCTTGATTTTAATGGTTGTATAATGTTCCATTGGTAAAGTGCATAGTGATTTAACTTTCCTCCAATTATTAGACATCATATTGCTTCTCATTTTTCTCTTTGACCAATATATTATCATAGCCACTCATTTTAAGTAATAATTTATAAAAAGGAAAAAAAATATTTGAATGAGGAGAGCTGCTGTCATTTAAAAAACTAACCAGGTTTGAAGGCAGTGGCACCCCACCTTGGGAGGTTCTAAATTGGTCGGTCTGAGATGGGACCATGGAATTAGTAATTTTTTAAAACCTTCTCCTGACTCCTCTTTAAAACTAGAAGACCAGGACTTAAAGACTGGCTATGATCCTGGCAATTGCAGTGGACAGACTGGAAAATACAATATATCTGCTTCCTCTGCTAAATCGAAAGAACAAGTTGAAAGGATTTGGCATTTTACTCAGATTTCTATTTTTTAAAAAAGATATCACTTAAAATAGAAACAAAGCAAAAATAAAAACAAGGAAAATGTTGTCTTAAATTCGAATTCATATTCACAAGATAATGGAGGTGTTAGCACTGAGTATTTCTCTTACGTGTGTTGCAGTGTTTACCTCTCCAACCAGAAGGACAAGAGCAAATGTTTGGTCCCACACATTTTCCTCCATTCATGCATATGGGATCACAGATACCTTAAGGTAAAAAGATGAAATGTCAGGTCTTAAATAGCAATAGTTTAGCTATTTAATGTGTTTTATTTACCTGTAGTTGGCAAATACATGTAGTGGTGTCTTACTTTTTTGGCATCTCCTACCAGTGTATCCTTCACGACAGGTGCACACATTATTTCTCACGCAATGGCCACCATTCTTACAGGGAGGGTGACAGATAGCTAAAAGAACACATGGCAGCAATCTGTGAATATTACACATTCAATTGCTATATATTACATATTGCATTGTGTGCTTGTTATCTGTGGGGCCATAAGGCAGAGAGATGTGCTATTAAAATAAAAGATCACAACTGCAAGTACTAAAATCATCCCTTCTAAATCAAAATACAATTCTTGGAGCTATAAGCTGCTAGTGGGTTAGCACAGTTTGCAATGTATTGGGGAATTGGTCATAACAAATGGAGTCTTTGGTATTATAGTGCACATAGTATGAACCTTATCTTATGTTTTACCACACTTTAAGTAAAGAATGAAATGATTTGACCAAAACCAAGAAAATATGTCAAAACCTAGCTCTGTGTAAGAATGTATCTGTTCCTGTGGAAATCAGAAAAATCTAAATAATCTGTCACATAATATTTGGAAAATACTTTAACTTTTAAATACCTACCGAGGTAATGAGTGCAGAGCTTTATATGTGACTTTTCTATGACTGTTTGGTAAAAATCTTTTAAACAGTAAATCCTTGGCTTTGTTAGGAATATTTATTGGGTAATCTTGAACATACTGTAGTATCATATATATATATATATATATCTGTTCTATGAAGCTCAGAATCTAATATCATCTTTTATGAAAGAATTGTTATATTGCTCCATGTTTCTTCTAGCTATGACAATTAAATGTGGTTGTTTTAAAAATAATAATACATAGGCAATTTTAAATTTAATTTTTCCTAAATGATAAATAAATAAATTTTAGTTTGTGTTTTAAAAATGAATGTCAAATAATGGTGAGGGCTGTTGCTATTTTTTATTATGGAGAAATACTCTCCTAGTTAACTGTTGGCATATAAATTTTATTTAAAATATTTTTTACTGATTTCAGAGAGGAAAGGAGAGGGAGAGAGAGAAACATGAATGATGAGAGAGAATCATTGATTGGCTGCCTCCTGCATGCCCCCTACTGGAGATCAAGAGACAACCCGGGCATGTACCCTTGACTGGAATT